TATGTGTGTGTGTGTGGAGGGGGGTTGGGGGGGGGTGATTCAGTACAAACCTTATGCCATGTTGTACGCGCCTCTGGATCGACCTGAAGCATTGCATGACTTGTTTGTACACTGGTATTTCCCCAATGTGCTGACTGTTATATAATTATCTACCTTCGTGCGTGTAATACACTTGCACCAAGTTAGCTTGGAAGTGGAAGTGCGAGTTGAGAATTATTTTTGGTCGGGCGAGGTAAATGTAGCACATTCCAAATTAAAGTGCACCATGCTTAGGAAGCTGTACTTGGTAAAAGTAAAGTTTAGTCACACCACACCCCTTTTTTCCCCTCCACTCCACTGTATTAGAATTAGAATCTTTGCATCAGTCTCAGACCTTCTTCTAAGCATGTCATGACACCACTAATCCCGCAACCTTACTGTATACTGCAACATACTACATTGTACACACGGTCGGTCAAGAATTCCGTCGACGAATCTGGTTTCTTCTCTAACAGTTGGAACTGTCTTTCGAGCGGAAGGACACGACGCCACTGCAACACTTCTGGAACAGCGTGTCGTAGCTGTCGCCGCCGCAGCAAGCCGGGTTCACCTCCTGGCGTTTGTGAATGTTTCCTTGGCAACAGATCTGGGAGCGCGGGGAGTAACGGCGGTTACCGCAGCGAGCTGAGGATGGAGAAATGACATGGTGTGGAGGCTGAGTTGTCATGGCAATGGTTTTTAAATATTTCGCATATCAATTATTATTATTCCTCCTGATGGGTAGATTCTAGTCTATAGCATTAACCAATTGACGAGTGCTGGGCCTGAAGCTAAAGTATAAGCTGCTTTAATGTGTTCTGAATGCTTTATCAAGGAAAGTTCTGGAAAGGGGTATCTGCGAATTAAATTGGAAACATGGAAAAATGAAATATCTATAACTAGAGCAGCCTCCCCCCTCCCCCCCAAAAAAAATGTAAAAAAAAAAAAATTAAACAACACCCACTCTAAATTTTTCTAAAGGTTAGGTGTAAGCCTGCTATGATGCTTTCTGAATGCTTAAATGTCAATGCAAGTGACTGTGGTTTGAATCCCCAACTGGGTGGGGGAGTACTATGCTTGGTTCTGTCGGAGAAGAATGTTTAATTAGAAGTCCCACCTCGTACATTTTGGGTCACAATCTGGGCGTGAAATCAATCCCACGTCATGGGCGTGGGCTTCAAAACAATCTTACTTTCAAAGCCCTACTTTTCGAAAAAAAAAAAAAAAAAAAAAAAAAAAAGGAAAAAAAGCGGAATGACTTTTCGAACGCAATGAATTTCATATTATGATTTGTGGGTGTGATTTTTCCAATTGGAAAACACGCCAGATTCGTTGATGGATGTTTTGAAATAGTAATAAAAAGCTGATCTCTTTCAGTTTGGACGGTACCTTAGTTACGATATTATGGCACTGATTTTTTTGACACCAAAACTATCGTAAGTCGAGTTACGATAGTTTAGAAACTTCTTTCATAATTGACAGAGAATATCGTATCTCAAGTTACGATAGTTTCGCTGCCAAGGGGGACATATTCCAATCTATTATACCCTGAAATACGATACCAGTATAACATATGTATACATCTTTCTACGTTGATGCAGGTAAGTAGCGTAGCCACAAAACTTTCGAACTTGGAGTTACCGTAGGCCTACTTTTGTATAAAAATAGATTTACATTAATTGGTTTTTAAAGTTTCGTAAATCAAGATACGATACTTTTGTTTTCTAAAATTTTGCCGCTATTGACGTACGATACATGTTCATTTGGGCTTAACTTTTCCCCCCTTTATTGAGCTTAATGGTACACGGATGACATAAGATGCCCATCATAAAATAGTTCAACACATCTTTAAGTGTAAAATACCGTAACTCAGGCCTTACTTTGCCAAGCGTGCCGCCTTTGAAATAACAATAAGGCAGCTGCTGTAAGCTGTACTTAGAATCTTGCTTTAACTTCTTGTTCGAGTAGTTTACTGATGTAACCCGCAGGTCCTACTTCTTTGAACTTCCATCGGAGTCTGAGACATTATGTAATGTGGTCAAAAATTCGTGGCTCAACTTATACTCAAATATCTCTTTAACGGGTGAACCAATGTCATCTATACTTTGCCAAGCAGTGTGTTTAAATTTGTCTGAACTAAATCATATTTTTCCACAACTATTGAGGCTAGATTGAAAATCTGTTCTTAATAAATCTAAATAAAATACTATTAATCTTTATTACGCAGAAAATGGGATTGTTCACAGGACTTCCCGCTTCTCACACATTTTGAATACAACCAACGTCACAGCTCTTCAATGACCCTTTTTATTGGTAAAACTGACTTGTACAAGAATTAATAATTTTATAGTGAATACATTTGTTTGCACTAAAAGTTCACAAAAAATGCGGTCAATGAAGATGGGGTCACGTTTTTTTTTTAAATGACGGACTTGCTTTTAAAAGCGATATTGCCCCAGCTGTACTGTGAACCTTTAACTGTAGAAACCACCCACTTTGATTTTCTATTAGTATTTATTGAAGAATTTTCTAGAATACAGCTAACAGGTGTGTACAAAAATATTGATCTGGACAAATTGATACAAGTCATTGTGCAAAAGCTGGGGAGTCTATGTTCGATAGTTGAGGAAATATTTGACAACAAGTTGCTCTACGACTTTTGACCGCACTACAGGCTTATTGCTTAAAATAAAAATGACATGAAATTGATTACACCATGACGAAGATACTTCATCGGGATCAGTCTCTGTCTTTCTGCTGAAGTGTGGTATTGAATACAGCCTGGCTTGGCCTTTCAAGCTAAGTTGAATCTGTTCACCGCTTCCAGAACCTGATAAGTGTCGATGAGGGCATAAAACACCATTAATATATATTTTTTTTACTACAGATCATATTTCTGTTCCTTATTGTTGTTGTTGTTTTTGTTGTTCGTTTGTTTGTTTATTTTCGTGTGTGTGTGTGTGTGTGTGTGTGTGTGTGTGTGTGTGTGTGTGTGTGTGTGTGTGTGTGTGTGTGTGTGTTTAAGGGTGGCTCTTAACATTAGTTAATTCAAAAGCTGCCATCGCATCGTTTCTCTTCAACCAGGATAACCGTCGTGATCTTACCGCTGCCCCCTTGACCTCTGCGTCCATCGTTCCCTCCGTCACGGGATTTCTGCGGGTACCTGGTCCACGGTGTCACGCCCAGCCCGGGCTCGTGCATATCCCTAGTGTACAGAAACATTCATTCTATGTATGTATGTTGGCATGTAAATATTTTTATAAAGTTATACACGTGACAGCAAGGAGGTAAAAAGATTTTGGTAAAGTATAAACCATCTTTAAGATAATTTATATGATTTTTTTTTTGCAGCTGTTTTAGAGCTTACGCTATTCGTTTTAATCTATTTCTGTTTTTGTTTTTGTTTTGTTTTTTGGGGGGAGGTTGTTTGTTTGTAATTTGTTTTCAAAATTGTGTTTTCTTTTTCTGAAACCTACAAAGACAGACACAACATACATGCTACGAAATGTGCACTTTCGTGTTTCTGATTTGTGTATGATAAAATTCTAAATGTGCCTCATCATGATCTTCTGCTGATCAGACGTATGTATCCGCTGCGTCATTAAACAGGTTAAGTGGCGATGTTGAAAAAGAACTGGTGTTTTATCACTGTGAATAAGAAATCGCTATAGCGGGCAAATTATGAAGACAATCTCCCATCCCCCGCCCTCTTTTTTTATACTTCCACCAAATCTGACTCACCTGACCTGTTGGTCTTGATACGCACTAAAAGGAGGTCGCTTTCTCTGTCCTACGCGAGTTCTCGACTTGGCAGCTTCGCCAAGACCTGTGAGGGGAGAGGCAGATGCAGTCTATAAGTGCTGTCAAAAATTTGTGGCACAATATATTGCCAAATATCTCTTCAAATATCGAACATAGGCTAACAAGGTTTTGCACAATGATTTGTATCAATTTGTCTTAATAGATTGATAATTTTGTAACACCTTTTAGCTGTATTCTAGAAAATTCCTTAATAGATACATTTGTGTTAAAATAAAAAATGCGAGACGGTGGTTTTTACAGATTTTAAAAAGTAAGTTTCATTTTTTTTCTTATCTCGACACTATGCTTATTGAATGCATATTTTGAGAACCATTGTGCAAAAAGGATTCAGAATAAAATTCATTTCTTGTAACAAGTTTTGCCACTAAAAGTTTCATTGGTGAGATGTGACATATAGGCCTCATACGTATACAAATTTTAATGTGTGAGAAGCGGAAAGTGCTGTAAACAATCCTATTTTTCGCATGACGGAGATTTATAGTATTTTCTAGAAATTTATGAAGAAAAGTGTTAGTTTTTTTATCTTGCCACAATTTTTATCGAAAATTATGATTAAGTTAATACAAATTGATACAAACTGCTGTGCAAAGTATGGATGACACTGATTCACTCATTAAAGAGATATTTGAGAATATGTTGCACCACGAATCTTTGACTGGACTATAGATCAATGTTATTATTGAGAAGCACTGAGGAGTCGTGTTATCTGATTCGCAGGTTTAGCATTGTTCCATTGTATAATCTGACTCGCAAGTGGTACACCGTTGGAGGGCGCCACTGGTAGGTCCTACTTCTTTACTTTCCATTTGTTGCTTTTGACTGTCTGCCTGACTTACTTTTCCCATCACAAAATGACCATTATTGCGTCGATGTGCTTCTCTTAACTCAAACAAACAAACAATAATCTTACTTGCAAGTGTCAGTAGTGTTTCAAAGTACATCCAAAAATACGGTTTCCCTGTATTTGAGACAGGCAAGACCTCTCTCTCTCTCTCTCTCTCTCTCTCTCTCTCTCTCTCTCTCTCTCTCTCTCTCTCTCTCTCTCTCTCTCTCTCTATCTATCTATCTATCTATCTATCTATCTATCTATCTATCTATCTATCTATCTATCTATCTCCCAATACCACTTACGCCCCAATGGAAAAACCCTGATCCACTCCAAGAAAACAGAAGAACTCTCCTAGTGGGAAAAGGTTTCTGGTTGTGATACATATGAGATTTTTTATTTTTTAACTCACAACAAGGAACCTACATTTATAACAAAGAAAGGTATGCCTTGAGAAGATAACTCCATGCACATTCCTGTCTCACTTACGTTGTTGAGACAAGACGAATCAAAATAAATCAGTACAGCATTTCAATTATACTGTTTGTAGCAACAACAGAAGAATGAAACAAAAAAGAAGAATCAACCCAAACAACAAACATGACATCATCATCATCATCATCAGCAGCAGCAGCAGCAGCAAGAACAACATCATCATCATCAACAACAACAACAACAACAACAACAACAAACACTACCACCACCACCACCACCAACAACAACAACAACGACAACAACAACAACATCAACCCAAGACTCACTTTTCACAGGGGGTTTTCTTTGCCTCTTCGGACTCGCCCGCTGCTCTTCTTGCCCTCTGTTCCTCCTTTGACCAATGGGCGGTACGACCTGGGCGGACGCCTCCTGCCACTCCTCCGCCTCTGGGGGGCTGAACGGGCTCTTGGCCTCCTTGGCGATCTCATATGTGGGCGGGGCAACAGGCTGTTGTTCGGGGGCAGGGACTTCTGGAACGGGAAAAGTCAGCTTTTCGTAAATGCAAGCCTTTATTTTTAACCTTTTTGAAAGGTACTATTCAACACCTCTCTGGTGTGAGCTACATCCGTAAGGATAAAAATGTCTTTATGTATATATAGTAGTTTGTAAGTGTTTTAGCGCATGTAAATCCGCAGTTTGCATTGGATGCTTCCCGGGAAGCAGAATGTTTCTCAGTGTCCTAGGGTCTTCGGGGGTAATAGTATTGCATGTAGTTGTAAAGCGCTTAAGGGATGCTGTAGAGCGGGAAAATATGAATATGGATTTTACAACACTTTCAACACTGAACGTAGGCAGAACCTCCGAATTGAGAATACACATTCGAGTAGATCAAAGAGATTTAGAGAGCCTTGAAAACTACACCAAAAGACTTAGCCCAAGAATGTCCGTCCTTGAGAAGTCGAATCCTCTCCTTTCCGATCAAATTCTGGCAAGGTACCGTAGGCCTATTGACTGAGCTTTTGGTGGAGCCAGCACGTCTGCAACTTGGCTATAAGGAGGACAGCTACTGGCTGACAACAATCAATGCCCCCCCCCCCTTCTCTTCGTCCTGTCCCTGAGGTAAAGCCATGATCTCGAGGTGCAGATGCTCATTATGTAAGCTGATAGTGGTGGGTGGTGAGTGGATGCCCTAGCCTAAACTACCTGTCCCAATATAAAGACACAATGTCGGGCTCCTAACGGGGTTCTTACTTTCCCATTCAATATCTATTGTTCTTATCTCTCCTCCTCCTATTTTGTGTCTGTTACTCTCTTGTACCACCTCTAATCTTCTCCACTTATATATGACTTAGCTGAGTTGTTAGTGGCGTAAAGCTCAAAATAAAATTTAAAAAATAAAACTGATAGTCAATCAAATAGACCAGAGTTCAAACCGTGGCATGTACGTCATTTCCTGACGCCCTTTTTGTGAGAAAGCAGATCAGAGGCCGACGAGTCTACTGGCATTAGAATTGATTATGTGTTTCACACATCCTGACTGTTACTCTGGAGAATGGCGGCATCTTGATATTGGTGAATGATATAACAACGCTTCTCTCGAGCACATGAAGCCACGAGCTCCAAAGTCAGACATATTTATTATTCATGAATTCACACGAACTGCTCGGTATAAGGCCAATTCTGAGTCAACTGGTAAGTTGTGGAGGGTATTGGTATTCTCCTTCTTCCTTTAATTCCTGCATTGCTGAGGTGTTGCTATCTACGTTTGCACAGACAAAATAGAATGTTTATTCAAGATATATTTTAAAAAGAGCTTTTACATTGTACTCTAACTTTTTTTTAAAATGTGCATAATGTAGCGATGTTATCTCCTAAACTTCCCACTTAGATCATTAGTAAAAACAAAAAGGAGAGAATGAGTGTTTGTACAGAAAACAATGAGCGCGTACGTCCACACAACAGTGAAGAGGGTAAGCATGTGAAACGTGGCGCCCCAAAGCACATCTGCAGAGAAAATTACAGACTCTAAAAGATCGTTTTACATAATACTCAACCCCATGGTGATCTTCTCACAAAAGTGAAGAATATGAAGCTAAGATGGTACACTGTGTACCAACATATTGCACGATCAAGTGTATTTGCAAAGACTGCCCATTATTAGGCGCAGAGGACGGGAGAAGAAACGGGGACAGGCAAAAGAAACGAAGGACAGAAAACGTCGCTCGTGGGTAGGGGAAACTGTCAGAGCCGCGCACTTTCGAGAAAAAACTATCAAAGCCACGCACTTTTTGACGATATCGATACAATTAGATTGCCAATTTCATCCAACGGTTACAGTCCCCTTGACAAAATAACTCTGTGCAGCCCGCAGCCAAATATATTCGTCTCTCTGCAGACGGCGACTTCCAGAGCATTTCTAAGCTGGAATTGAAAGCACAGACCAATCACAAAGACACTTCCGCAAGAAAGAAGGGAGAATGTGTTACAATCAAGTGCACGCAGATGGACAGGTCTCACAACTTCAATTCTTATCCCGAATGAGCAAGAAAATGCTCTCCCAACACTTTAAAGATCGCCTCTGTCCTGTAGATATGATTTTATACCTGAAAAGCCGATTCATTCAATACAAATTCTAACTGATATCTGGTCCAAAGCCCAGAAAAACGCTGAGTGTATTTAAATTGTTGTATGGTACTGTTTTGGTCATCTTCAATCTAATTGTATCGATATCGTAAAAATGTGCGCGGCTCTGATGTTTTCCCGTGGGTAGCAAACTCTCACTGATGACAAAAAGTGTAAAAATACTACTACTACTACTACTACTACTACTACTACTACTACTACCACTACTACTACTACTACTACTACTACTACTACTACTACTACTACTACTACT